GGCTGTCTTTACTTTCCCAGGACGGCTTATCCTGGTAACCATTTTAGGCTGGGTCGACCTGCGACGTCCCATACCACGATACAAATCCACGCAGCCCGCAGTGGGTTTCGATCGCGGTACGTTGGATTACGAGTCAGACTCGCAACGCCTTAGCCACGGACGCCGCAGCCAGAAGTGGGTGCCAGCAAATGTTCTGGAAGAAGCTGACCCAGTCACATAACTCAGTACTGACTGAGCAAACACCATATACCAAATGTGATTAGCACCTGGTATACACACAGTTTTATGCAGGTCAACTAGCACACACTGGAACCGGTAAGTGACCACAGACGTAACTAAAACAAGCAACTGCCACATGTGTAATTTTAATCAAATACGTATGATGGTATAAATCACATATGTATGATAGTATAGTCTATAAAATGTATAGATTCAAACTATTCATCTATCACACATATAGTTGACACAAGTAATTTGCCAAATATGAAATTTTAAAGAGGCAGTTTGCCATACATAAAGCCTCAATTAGACAAGTAACAAGTAATCAATCAGGCACAGAGATTCAAACATTCAGTCTATCAAACTTCTAGCTTTAAGCACATCATTCACCACGCATGTATTTTTGTAAACTAATTCAGCACAGTCATGGTGTGAAACAACTGGTGTACATCATCAATTAATATAAATGTATCACCGACTACAACGTGTAATCTGCTCTGTCAATAGATTTTCAAATCTCATCCATCACAGCTTCAACAGGTAATTTACTCATACAGGTTTCAAACAGGTAATTTACTCATACGGGTTGTTTCAAATAAGTAATTTACTCATACAGGTTGTTTCAAACAAGTAAATTACACATACAGGTTGTTTCAAACAAGTAATTTACTCATACAGGTTGTTTCAAACAGGTAATTTACTCATACAGGTTGTTTCAAACAGGTAATTTACTCATACAGGTTGTTTCAAACAGGTAATTTACTCATACAGGTTGTTTCAAACAAGTAATTTACTCATACAGGTTGTTTCAAACAGGTAATTTACTCATACAGGTTGTTTCAAACAGGTAATTTACTTATACAGGTTGTTTCAAACAAGTAATTTATTCCTACAGGTTGTTTCAAACAAGTAATTTACTGATACAGGTGGTTTCAAACAAGTAATTTACTCATACAGGTTGTTTCAAACAAGTAATTTACTCATACATGTTGTTTCAAACAAGTAATTTACTCATACAGGTTGTTTCAAACAAGTAATTTACTCATACAGGTTGTTTCAAACAAGTAATTTACTCATACAGGTTGTTTCAAACAAGTAATTTACTCATACAGGTTGTTTCAAACAAGTAATAGCACAAGACAGACATCTAACACAAATAAAAATCTAAATTACTGTCCACTGTAGCGCACAAAGAAACATCTAAACTACTGTCCACTGTAGCGCACAAACATCTAAATTACTGTCCACTGTAGCGCACAAAGAAACATCTAAATTACTGTCCACTGTAGCGCACAAAGAAACATCTAAACTACTGTCCACTGTAGCGCACAAAGAAACATCTAAATTACTGTCCACTGTAGCGCACAAAGAAACATCTAAACTACTGTCCACTGTAGCGCACAAAGAAACATCTAAACTACTGTCCACTGTAGCGCACAAAGAAACATCTAAACTACTGTCCACTGTAGCGCACAAAGAAACATCTAAATTACTGTCCACTGTAGCGCACAAAGAAACATCTAAATTACTGTCCACTGTAGCGCACAAAGAAACATCTAAACTACTGTCCACTGTAGCGCACAAAGAAACATCTAAATTACTGTCCACTGTAGCGCACAAAGAAACATCTAAACTACTGTCCACTGTAGCGCACAAAGAAACATCTAAACTACTGTCCACTGTAGCGCACAAACATCTAAATTACTGTCCACTGTAGCGCACAAAGAAACATCTAAATTACTGTCCACTGTAGCGCACAAAGAAACATCTAAACTACTGTCCACTGTAGCGCACAAAGAAACATCTAAACTACTGTCCACTGTAGCGCACAAAGAAACATCTAAATTATTGTCCACTGTAGCGCACAAAGAAACATCTAAATTATTGTCCACTGTAGCACACAAACATCTAAATTACTGTCCACTGTAGCACACAAACATCTAAATTACTGTCCACTTTAGCCCACAAACATCTAAATTACTGTCCACTGTAGCACACAAACATCTAAATTACTGTCCACTTTAGCCCACAAATAATCTAAATTACTGTCCACTGTAGTGCACAAAGAAACATCTAAACCACTGTCCACTGTAGCACACAAACATCTAAATTACTGTCCACTGTAGCATACAAACATCTAAATTACAATCCACTGTAGCACACAAACATCTAAATTACTGTCCACTTTAGCCCACAAATAATCTAAATTACTGTCCACTGTAGTGCACAAAGAAACATCTAAACCACTGTCCACTGTAGCACACAAACATCTAAATTACTGTCCACTGTAGCATACAAACATCTAAATTACTGTCCACTGTAGGACATAAACAAACATCTAAATTACTGTCCACTGTAGGACATAAACAAACATCTAAATTAGTCTCCACTGTAGCACACAAACAAACATCTAAATTACTCTCCACCTTAGCACACAAACAAACATCTAAATTACTGTCCACTGTAGCACACAAAGAAACATCTCAATTACTGTCTACCGTAGCACATGACAAACATCTAATTTACTGTCCATGACAAACATCTAATTTACTGTCCACTGCAGTACACGACAAACATATAATTTACTGTCCACTGCAGTACACGACAAACATCTAATTTTTGTCCACTGCAGTACACGACAAACATCTAATTTACTGTCCACGACAAACATCTAATTTACTGTCCACTATAGTACATAATGCACATCTACATGACCATCCAACCTTCGACATGAATTTAAAACAACTGCCCGTCCCAGCCATTTCCAACCCTTACTCTATCCAGTCCTTGAAATGAACAATGTGTCTTTCCTTGTACACCTGTGGAGTCTGACCTTTGACCTATTGACCCCATGCTGACAAAAATGTTTCAGTGGGCAACTATAAAAGCACACACTTTCAAAATACTGATATTTTTTGTTGTTTATATAAAGAAATAAAGAAACCAGTGCAGTTGTATGTACACACCCACATGCACAAACAAAGTTGATTACAGAAAATATGATAAACTCTGACAGACTACCAATGATAGTCCCACGTTCCAATAATACGTTGTGTGAACATGGTTAATGAAAGAATGCAAATAAAATATCAAATACTCGTATTAGTTTCTGAACTTTGAAGTTCACTGGTATCAGTATATAATCGTGATATATAAATGGTTAATTTTAAGTGTGTTAATGAATGAATCACATATAATTAACAAATCACACAAAATGAATTAATTGCAAAAACATAATGAATAGCAAACAATAAATGGATCAAAAACAATGGACGAATCACAAAGGAATTGCAAACAATTAATGAACTACCAACAGTGGTTGAATCACAAATAATGAATCACCAAAAACAGATGAATCACAAACTATGAATCACCAACAATGAATGAATCAATTAATCACAAACTGAATGAATCCCTAACAATGAACAGATCACCAACAATTAATGAATCCCCATCAGTGACTGAATCCCCAACAGTAAATGAGTAACCAACAGTTAATGAATCCCCCAACAATAAACAACCACCAACAATGAATGAATCACGAACAATGAACGAATAAACAAACAACAAATCACAAACCGCCTGATCAGCCAACATACACACAGATGAGGCAGGTAGATAACACAAACTAAAGCCACAACTAGCTGCTGACTAGCTGACAATACTGGCTATGGTGCATTTCATGAATTATTGGTCTACAGTCACAGAGCTAGCGATCACACACAGTGATCTAGAACATACAGCTAGCGATCTAGAACACACAGTGATCTAGAACATACAGCTAGTGATCTAGAACACACAGTGATCTAGAACACACAGCTAGTGATCTAGAACACACAGCTGGTGATCTAGAACATACAGCTGGTGATCTAGAACATACAGCTAGTGATCTAGAACATACAGCTAGTGATCTAGAACATACAGCTAGTGATCTAGAACACACAGCTAGTGATCTAGAACACACAGCTAGTGATCTAGAACACACAGCTAGTGATCTAGAACATACAGCTAGTGATCTAGAACATACAGCTAGTGATCTAGAACACACAGTGATCTAGAACATACAGCTAGTGATCTAGAACACACAGCTAGTGATCTAGAACACACAGCTATTGATCTAGAACATACAGCTAGTGATCTAGAACATACAGCTAGTGATCTAGAACATACAGCTAGTGATCTAGAGCACACAGCTAGTGATCTATAACACACAGCTAGTGATCTAGAACATACAGCTAGTGATCTAGAACATACAGCTAGTGATCTAGAACATACAGCTAGTGATCTAGAACACACAGCTAGTGATCTAGAACATACATCTAGTGATCTAGAACATACAGCTAGTGATCTAGAACATACAGCTAGTGATCTAGAACATACAGCTAGTGATCTATAACACACAGCTAGTGATCTAGAACACACAGCTAGTGATCTAGAACACACAGCTAGTGATCTAGAACACACAGCTAGTGATCTAGAACATACAGCTAGTGATCTAGAACATACAGCTAGTGATCTAGAACATACAGCTAGTGATCTATAACACACAGCTAGTGATCTAGAACACACAGCTAGTGATCTAGAACACACAGCTAGTGATCTAGAACACACAGCTAGTGATCTAGAACACACAGCTAGTGATCTAGAACATACAGCTAGTGATCTAGAACACACAGCTAGTGATCTAGAACATACAGCTAGTGATCTAGAACATACAGGTAGTGATCTAGAACACACAGCTAGTGATCTAGAACATACAGCTAGTGATCTAGAACATACAGCTAGTGATCGAGGATTCTCAGGTTGCCAGACACAATCTTGTTCTCTAGAATGGCTCCCATAGGAATGTCAATTTTCTCTCCATGATTGGCAATGATGATAACAGTACCCTGTATAAGGACAGAGATTCAGAAAATTTAGACATGATAAACTCATTACATAGAAGAAAATCTGTTTTCTTATCCCCAAACCCCCCCCCCCCCCCCCCTTTTCCCACCAACCAAAGGGGAACCTTAACATTCGTCTAAGGCCCCACATCATCACCTCCAAGTTCTTTCTAATTTATGCATTCACATTCCATGATTCACTACCATACAGCAATATAGGTTCTACATAACATTCTAGCGCTCTCTTTCGGACATCCAAAGAGAGGCACCTGATGGACAAGATGTTCTTTATTCTCTGAAATGCAGTCTTAGCCTAACCTTTTCTGCTCCTAATTTCTGACACACATCTTCCGTCTGATTTTATGACTCTACCCAGGTATTTTAAGCACCACAGTAGATTGGAAAAAGATATAGCAGAAGGCATGGTACCAGGAAGGAGGGGCAGGGGCCGACCGACGCGAAGATGGGCACAGGATATAAGTGACTCCTTGAGTACGAAAGTACATGAGGCGGGAGAACTGGCGAGAGAACGAGTTTCTTTTAGGCAGACTGTGATGAGAGCGATGTTCTGTAAAGGAAATAAAAGAGCAGAAAGATTAAAGTGGCTGGTAAAAGGAGAAGTATGGGCAGGGCAGACACAGTGAATGAATGAGCTCTGCTTTCCAGAGTTGTGATTGCAGTGGCTAGTAAAGGAGAAGTATGGGCAGGGCAGACACACTAAATGAGCTCTGATTTCCAGAGAGGTTGAAACAAAGGGATCAGAGATGAGAAACCATCTGTCGGAGATGAACAACGGTGAATGGGAAGAGACTTCTGTTGGAGATGAACAACGATGGATGGGAAGAGACTTCTGTTGGAGATGATCAACGATGGATGGGAAGAGACTTCTGTTGGAGATGATCAACGATGGATGGGAAGAGACTTCTGTTGGAGATGAACAACGATAGATGGGAAGAGACTTCTGTTGGAGATGAACAACGATGAATGGGAAGAGACTTCTGTTGGAGATGAACAACGATGAATGGGAAGAGACTTCTGTCGGAGATGAACAACGATGGATGGCAAGAGACTTCTGTCGGAGATGAACAATGATGGATGGGAAGAGACTTCTGTCGGAGATAAACAATGATGGATGGGAGGAGACTCACCCGAAGACTGACGCTCTTTCCAAAGTTGACGTCTCCTGCTACAGTCAGGTGATCCAGCTCCAGGATGTCCGGGATGCTGGCGAATCTTTTCAGGAAATCTTTCACCTGCAGAGTGAGAGACTACCCACATCAGGAGGAGACAATTGACATTACTCTGTCACATGTAAAGCTAAAGTTACAGTGGAAAGGACAGCACAAATTGACATGACTCTGTCACATGTCAAGCTAAAGTTACAGTGGAAAGGACAGCACAAATTGACATTACTCTGTCACATGTCAAGCTAAAGTTACAGTGGAAAGGACAGCACAAATTGACATTACTCTGTCACATGTCAAGCTAAAGTTACAGTGGAAAGGACAGCACAAATTGACATTACTCTGTCACATGTCAAGCTAAAGTTACAGTGGAAAGGACAGCACAAATTGACATTACTCTGTCACATGTCAAGCTAAAGTTACAGTGGAAAGGACAGCACAAATTGACATTACTCTGTCACATGTCAAGCTAAAGTTACAGTGGAAAGGACAGCACAAATTGACATTACTCTGTCACATGTCAAGCTAAAGTTACAGTGGAAGGGACAGCACAAATTGACATGACTCTGTCACATGTCAAGCTAAAGTTACAGTGGAAAGGACAGCACAAATTGACATTACTCTGTCACATGTCAAGCTAAAGTTACAGTGGAAAGGACAGCACAAATTGACATTACTCTGTCACATGTCAAGCTAAAGTTACAGTGGAAAGGACAGCACAAATTGACATTACTCTGTCACATGTCAAGCTAAAGTTACAGTGGAAAGGACAGCACAAATTGACATTACTCTGTACATGTCAAGCTAAAGTTACAGTGGAAAGGACAGCACAAATTGACATTACTCTGTCACATGTCAAGCTAAAGTTACAGTGGAAAGGACAGCACAAATTGACATTACTCTGTCACATGTAAAGCTAAAGTTACAGTGGAAAGGACAGCACAAATTGACATTACTCTGTCACATGTCAAGCTAAAGTTACAGTGGAAAGGACAGCACAAATTGACATTACTCTGTCACGTGTCAAGCTAAAGTTACAGTGGAAAGGACAGCACAAATTGACATTACTCTGTCACATATAAAGCTAAAGTTACAGTGGAAAGGACAGCACAAATTGACATTACTCTGTCACATATAAAGCTAAAGTTACAGTGGAAAGGACAGCACAAATTTACATTACTCTGTCACATATAAAGCTAAAGTTACAGTGG